AAGGACCCGGACCCCTGGGGGGAAGGGGGGGGAGCCGGGCCCGGGGCGGGGAACCCCGGCCCAGGGGTGGGAGAGGGCCCTGGGACTTACCCCAAGCCATGGGCGAGGGGGAGAACCGTCGGCACGGCGCGGGGGGGCGGTGATGAGGCCTCGGTTCATCACTTGGAGGGGAGCAGAGGTTCCCTTCCTCCTCCTCCTCCTCCTCCTCCTCCTCCTCACACACACCGACTCCCCCCCGACCCCCTCCATGCACCTCAGCTTTTCGGGGACAGATCTGCCAACAGGTTGGTCACCTGCTCCTGGAGAAAAAGGGCTTTTCCTGCCGCGTTTCCCACCTCTGTGGGTGCTGGTGGGGTTCTCTGTGCCCAGCCACGGAGGGATCGGGGGGGAGGAGGTGCGGGGGAGTTGTTAGGGGGTCTCTGCTGGGAAGCTGGTGCAGTGTTGATGGGATTTGCTTTGAGAAGCGAGCGGCCAAGGGATGGGAGAGACGTGAGGAAGCAGAAGCTAAACCGACCGCTGCCATTTTCTGAGCAGAGCGCAGGCGGTCACGGTCCACCTCACGGGAGAGGGAGAGGAGGCGAAGAGAGCGATCCCGGTCCCGGGACAGGGACAGGAGGAGAAGCCGTTCTCGCTCCCCGCACAGGAGGCGGTCCAGGTGAGGGGCAGAAACGCCAACGCCGGGGTGGGGATGAGGTGGAAGAGCCCGAGTGAGGCTCAGCTCAGGCGGCACGGGGCCGGCGAGAACTCGTTAACGCTGTAAAACCGTCTGCGGTAACGGCACAGCTGGGAAGCTGCAAACCTGCCTGCGTTTGCAACGTCAGGTCGCCAAGACGGCACCGATCCAGCTCCTCCTCCCCCCCGCGACTGAAGGAAAGGCGGGATGAAGAGAAGAAGGAGATAAAGGACTCCAAAGGCAAAGAGCGTCAGATCACGGGTGAGGAGCTGGATTTTCCTCGTTAAATACGTCCCGGGTTCCCCGCTTGGGTTGGGGTGAAGCCAGGGGACACCCAGCTGCTTATTGAAATCGTTTTTGGTGAACCCCGGCGGCTGTGTTTGTCAAATTCTCGTTTCGTTGCCTTGGCAGAGGAAGATTTGCAGGGCAAAACAGAAGAGGAAATCGAGATGATGAAGATGATGGGCTTCGCCTCCTTTGACACGACAAAAGTGAGTGTGGATTGGCGCGGCGGAGCCAGCCGCTGCCTCCAGCGGCCTCGGCAGTGCTGCCTGTGCCCTTTTTGGTGACAAAACGCTGAATTTGGGGACCTTTTTTCTTAATGTTTTTCAGGGAAAGAAGGTGGACGGCGCCGCAAACGCGTACGCCATCAACGTGTCCCAGAAGAGGAAGTACAGGTTTGTGCCCGGCCCTTTTAATTTTGGTTTTTTTCGGATAGCCAAAGAATTTCTTTGATGAGATCACGCAGTGTGGAGGAAACTCGGCGGCCATACATCGAAGCCCGCTGTCTCTCGGCGCGTGCAGGGGGGGGCGATCCGGCTTTCTCAGGCCTTCGGAAAAAGGCAAAATTTGCGGGTTTTTACCGACACATGGTGATGAGAGGCCACTGGTTTCTCCTGGAAATGGTGAAAGATGAGGAGTGGGAGAGTGCACTGGGCGCGGGTGGGACATGCCCTGCGCCAGACACTGCCTCGGTGGGAGGTTTCCTCCCCCTGTTTGTACAAATCCCTGGGGAATTCGGTTCCCGGTGGCTGCCCAGCGCGGTTACGAGCTGCCCCAGGGTATTTTTGTGCAGTTTTCTTCAGAGCCAGCAGCCCCGGCCGGGGTTTGTCCCTGGCGGTGATGCCGGTTCCTTCCCTCTGGCCGCAGGCAGTACATGAACAGAAAAGGAGGATTCAACAGACCCCTGGATTTCATCGCTTGACGCTGCCAGCGGCTCGGGGCCCGGATTTCAGAGGAGTTTGGGTTATTCCCAACAAATCCCGCAGCCGGAGCGGGTACAAGTCACCGTTTCCTGGAGTCTTTGGTTTGTTTGTTGGGGTTTTTTTATTTACAATATCCCTGGCAGTTCGTGTCTTGCCGGGATTTCGTCGTGGTTCTCCTGTTGTTTTTTGATGTCGCGCCGCGTTCCCCGTTTAATAAACCCCCGTATCTATTTTTCCTTTTATTTTTAGAATTTGGGAATAAAGCACAGGCTAGGGGGCTGCCGGAACCCCCCCGGTTGTTTACCCCGGCCGCTGTGCTTGCGCGGGGCGGGGACCTTATTCCCCGAAACGCTCCCGTTCCCGCGTCGCATAAAAATGTATAAAATTTATACAAATAAATCAAATTAAAGCGCCTGCGGCCAAAGCAGTTGGAGCGGCTGCCCCGCCCCCTTCCC